ACCAAAAGACCAGGGTCCACTTGCACAAAGCGATCTTAGCGCTAAGACTATTGTAAGCCTATGTTAAAGTATCGGAGTTACGATCATCTTAGCGCTAAGATCGCTTTGTGCAAGTGGGCCCTGGTTAAAGTATGGTACTTGTTGTTACCCTGCCTGGCGCTCGGGATAATGGGGATAAAACAAGGACTGGTTCACTCAGAGTCAGTATAGCTAATAAAACCGACACAGTACAAGTACACGTCGATATACAAATGCAATAATCTAGTATACATCATAGTGGTGGGACGATTCACCGATGCATCGGTGGATCGCGATGTTTTGCTTATCGATCACAGTCGCACACTAAGTACAAAATATCGATTCTTACCTCAAATGTTTGCTTTAATAACTGTTATTCTAAACACTAATTAGTAATGAAAATTAGTAGTGAAAAACCTAAATATTTTCATCTGTTGTGTGCCATACTTGACACTGCCAACTGTAAATCATCAGCGTGCCAGGTATTTGGTCACCCTGTCTATGAAAAAGATGACGTACAGGCCACAGATAAGAGCACACGCAAGAATCGTGATACATATCGGATCGTGAGTAAGGTATTGTGATACATATCGGATCGTGATTAAGGTATTGTGATACGTATCGGATCGTGAGTAAGGTATTGTGATACATATCGGATCGTGAGTAAGGTATTGTGATACGTATCGGATCGTGAGTAAGGTATTGTGATACATATCGGATCGTGAGTAAGGTATTGTGATACATATCGGATCGTGAGTAAGGTATTGTGATACGTATCGGATCGTGAGTAAGGTATTGTGATACATATCGGATCGTACAGTTGGTGAGGGGCGGTCGGGTAGCCTAGTGGTTAAGGCGTTCGTTCGTCACGCCGAAGACCCGGGTTCGATTCCCGACATGGGTACAATGTGTGAAGCCCATTTCTGGTGTCCCCCGCCGTGATATTGCTGGAATATTGCTAAAAGCGGCGTAAAACCATATTCACTCACTCACTCACTCACAGTTGGTGCATCGTCTCACGCTAAACCACATTTCACCTAACCTCACCTCACCTCACCTAACCTAACCTAACCTCACCTCACCTCACCTCACCTTCCCATACTGATGGCCATGTAAAATATATGGATTACTGGTATTTTCTACTTATAAAGAGAACATGGTCTGCAAAACAAAAAATCGAATTAAACTGTTGTGATGAGTTGGACCTTTCGATGGTCCGAGCTCGCTCTACTGCCATACGACTTGATTCACAGCCCCGTGAAGATTCGGGGTCGTGTAGGTCTTCAGCAACCCATTCTTGCCGTAAAAGGTGACTTTCCTTGTCGAACTATCCTTTGCTGTAAGAGGCGACTAACGGGATCGGGTGGTCAGGCTCGCTGACTTGGTTGATGCATGTCATCGTATCCCAATTGCGTGGATCATGCTCATGATGTCAATCACTGGTTTGTCTGGAATATTACTGAGTGCGGCGGTAAACAACAAACAAATATTAAAAATGAAAGACGATACCAAAGATCCATCTTATTTGCAACATTTACTTTTATAGGTGGCAAGATGTTATGGGAATGGTGACCATCCGACCTAGACTCAAACATTCCCAACACCACTCCCACTTCAACCCCAAATCAGATTTCAGTCTTCACCGACATTTCCTCAAATATTTTTATTATTTTGAACAGCAGCTTCACCTGATACACAACGGTAGTTAAAAAGTATTGTCCAATGAAAGATCACGATGTGATCACGAGGGGTATTGCAAAGCAATACAGTGCGTGCGGTCCATGATGCTCGTGCAAATAATGCCGAAAGCTTTTGACTGGCTGTGCGCCAGTCACTTCAGACACAGCATATTATTTTCATGCCGCTTCACGCATTTTTTGTTGTTTTCTTTCTTTCGCAATGATCATTAATACATCTACATCATCTCACAGTGACATCAAACGGTAAATTATTCAAAGGTGATGTATTAGGACAGAAATGTCAAATTTTAGCCCCAAATAGAAAAAATCCTTTTGAAGAATATTGGGCATATCCATGTGACTGACAAGGATTGTGCTATTTCTAGCGCTTGCCAATGAAAGACATAAGCAGGCGAAACTGTAGGAACAAAGGTTCGATTTTCGGAGTTCAAGACAATGTATAACAATATGAACAGGTCCTTTGATCGAGACGAATGTTTCACCATAAGATTTAACTGCCTCAGGCGGTGGAGGGTGGTTGGGATTGGTCGTAGGGCTGTTTATTGTTTTGCACACACAAAAACAACCCATTTTATGTTACATGTTTTTCAGGTTGTGACATCTTTTGGATTAATGTAATGGTCATATAATTCTATTTTAAACATTTCGCACTCTTTTTACGAGGATAAACAATCCGATTTTAACAATACTGTGTTTGAAAAATTTTCACAAGTGCACTAAATTAATTCCCGGTGGATTGATAATATCATCTATCCCAAGGAATAGCATATGTACTCTATGATAGAGTTATTTGTTCCTGTAATCTGTCATATACGTTCGGGAACGTGTATATACAAGAGATATGACAAGGCAAACCTACATGTACAGTTCAGGTCACACCCCTTGCACGGGTCACGTGCAAACCGCCACGTCATCACAACATTCCGGCACGTATGCAGACTTGCGGCGTCACTTTTCATCTGACAGCAAAGAGTTGTCAATTTCAATCATGTGACGACTGCGTGATAACAATAATGCGTTTTCGTACACGAGAAAAGTGACTGTACGTCGGGTTCAGCATTTAATACTTTGTTTTTGACAAGTTTTAGAAGAATGGGGTTATTTTGACATTTTTGTTTAAATCAATTTCATTTTGCAACATTTTTGTGACATATATGTAAAACTTCTATGACATACAGGGAACACGTATGTGACATTAATAAAACCATTTATTATATGTATTTTATTAATTTTTACATTCCCTTTTTAAATTCCTTTCATTCTGTAAAATGTCAGCATTGCTAATAAACCCCCTCCACGACCCCAAAAACTGACAATTAGTCCCAGAAATTGTTTTATCTTAATTAAAAATATATATTTAAAAATCTAAAATAAAATGTAAATAGAGTCCTGATTTGTCAAGCTTAATCGTTAAGTCAATCTGGACCATATAGTATGATGCTCTTGGTGAGACTTTCACAAAAAGAAGTCCATGAAAATGCGGGAGTTTCTTCCTGGAACGAGTTATTCATGTATTGTTACCTTATATATGGTACATATACGTTTGTTGATACCATCCCATGGTAACGCTGACTGAGTACTGAGACATTTATAACAGAGTTATCTAACCTGGTAATGATCTAAACTATCAATTTCAGAAATGTTTCTCTCAGTGATCAGTTAACATTTTCATCAGAATATATGACACCGTCGTCACGATGATGATGATCATGATGATCACGATCTTGATCATCATGATTATGCATTTATGGTCACAGCAAAATACAGATGATGGTAATGATATGTATTTGTTTGTTAGTTTTTATTGTTTTGCTGTTGTTTTTAACGCCGCAATAAGCAATATTTCAACTCTATGCTGGCGGTCTGTAAATAATCGAGTCAGGACCAGACAAACAAGTGATTGACTTCATGAGCATCGATATGCGATGATGATGATGATTTTACATCTTAAGTGTTATCTACTATTTATTTTATACCCTCGTGTATTACGTTGTCTTTTATACACACGATCTACATCATCATCATCGTCGTCATCATCGTCGACGTCGTATCAGGCGACATTTGAAAACAATCATCATCGTGGTCTATGCTATCGTTTATCATATTCGAGATCATTTTCTATCAATGTCATCATAACATTACGTTGTTTACAAGAATGCTTGAATACAGGTAAATGTCACACTGAATAAGAAGTATTCATATTCCCGCACAAAGCACGGTGATGACGTAAAATTATGTGACCCGTCACATGTACCAAGTTCTACCTGCAGATTGACATGTATCGCTATTGATTTTAGGGGAGTCACGTGACAACAATACGTGCCCGTCTCCTCGCGCAGTGTGGAACGTGTTAGACTGGCCACAGGTCTTTGAAAACCACTAACAATGGCTATGAATATATGTGCATCATAAATACGTTAAACTGTACAGAAGTAACAGATAAATAGTCAAGAATATGGAACAATATAATAGTAGGATCCGAATAGAAACATGACAAGTTGAAAATAAATACAAATTCGGAAGAGATGGTAATTGTCGTGAGCGAATAGGGTTTTACCTTTCAACCTTGTTGCTATGTGACTTGTGCAATGTAACGTTTGCTAGATACATGTACTTAAACCTGTTATCTACTTAAACATGATAATATACTCTCTCTCTCTCTCTCTCTCTCTCTCTCTCTCTCTCTCTCTCTCTCTCTCTCTCTCTCTCTCTCTCTCTCTCTCTCTCTCTCTCTCTCTCTCTCTCTCTCTCTATTGGCATGACACGGCCGGGCATCGAACCTCGGACCCTTCGACACTAGACCCCGTCGTAACACTTGTCATAGCGATGCAAATGCGAAACAAATAATTGTGGATTTAATTAAACGTCTGCTCATATATTTATCTATTTATTTCATTTTGTGTATTCTGTATGGAGGGGTGATATCGGTGACAATATTAGCCTTAGAACATTTATCTCGGATATCGCTCCTTCCATCCATTATATGGCTGAAATAATGTCGATGCGACGTTAAATTTTAACTCACACACTCACTATCCATTGATTAACGTTGCAAGTGCTTGTTACGTCATCAAAACAACACATTGTGACGTCATAACTATGCTCGTGAACCGCCCGACGCATACTTTCCTTCGCCCTGTTTTGAATATGTGGCATCTTGCTTTGAATATACCACCCGGAGATAACATTAAAAAATAGGGTAAAATCCTTATGACAGTCTATGTTGAGACCAGAGTAGCTCCCCCTACTACTTCCGTGCCAAAAGGCAGAGGCCGCTAGGTGCGATCACGTGACACATACTCTTCTGACGTCACTGTAAATAAACCCCAAACATCAACAAAGTGTCGTGACTGGTGAAACGTAGAAGATATAGAAACACTTCTGAGAGCTATTTCCCACATTTGAGCTGTGTTTCCCAACATGGCGTCCACACAGAGGCCAGACCAAAGCGAGGACCTCAATGGTAAGACTTATGGTGCACAGTTTCACTGAAAACAGGGATGTGTTGTGAAAACTAGGCCATTCATTGTCTCGTCGCTGACAGCTGGCTGGGAATAGAATTTGTGCCACGCGATAGCTCATGCATTATTATTGTTTTGCCTGTCGCCTCAGTTTGTGTTTTTGCTACCCGAGTGATTGTTTATCTAAGTGCACAGGTAATTCAGGCGTCATTTCCAGGCGTTTTTATCCGAGGAGAACGACGGCAGTGAACTGTCAAAATTCTAATTCTTGAACCATAAATATTGGCGCATAAAATGAGAAAAGTACTCCTTTCGTGAAGACTGGCATTACAGTTTGAGTGCTGTGTGGTTATTTTTGCTATTGATTTATATTATGAATCTTTCACGTTGTGCATATATATATCTAAATGTTTCATATGGATTAACTACGTGATATTTTTATTGTACCTTTATAGGTTCATATGTTTATGATATTATCAGTGATAATGAGGCAAGTATATTTATGTATTTGATGCCATATCTCTCAAGATATCAATGGTTTCAATGTTTTCACATGCTCCAGATAAATATATAGCATTACAGTGCCAATCATTGAATTGTAACGAATATCATTGAGCTTATTAAATATTAAAGCCAAAACCAACAGTGATTTGCCATCTTTACAATAGTATTCGGGCTTCTCTTGATCATGTTGATAATTCTTCAAGAAATTGCACGGTGAGCAGTGATAGTGCTGGGAGAAAAGATCAAGCTTTGTTAGTTTTGCTGTGAAGCATGCAGGATTAATACGGTACAGAATCACTTATCAGTGTTATTGGAGTTACTTACCCGTCCCTACCAACTTGCTATCCATGATTCCTTTATCAGTATATTGACATGACCGACATATTGTGAATGGGCAATTAACTCAGTGCATTCATCTCTTTAAATCATGTCAATCGTGTTTATTGAAATCAACTTTTTATTTTCATGGTACGGATGTTAATAATTACTACACTTATTTTAAATCCTTTGCTAATTCAGCATAGCTGGTCTTTTTAATGCAAATAAGGCCAGATCAGATTATATTTTTGTTTTATTCAATCACCTGGCTGACTTTTTTTCCAAAAATAAAACACTGAAGGACGAAATACAATTCTCCATCAAGATTTCATGTTTTTGTATTTCAAGGAATGGAGCCTCAAACTTCATTTGAGAAGATACTGTCTTTATTTTGTCTTTCTTGATCATCTGAAACTTTAAAGCTTCAAGCTAGATTGCTTCCTTTTAGAAATTAAAAAAATAAATTCCTTTTGGTCTGGCCTAATGATTTTTACGTTCTCTACAATTTTCTGACAGTTGTAATAAATATAAACTCAGTTAAAATGTTTTAAGCAACATATTGATTAATTCAGCACACACATCAGCTTTTTTTTAATGATTATAAAGAATCAATTTGATTATGGCTGAAATTGCAGTCTTGACAGTGAAGGGTGATGAACAGCTGAGTGATTGCCTAGAGACAGGTGGACAAAGGTCAAACTGTTCAAATGTTATCATGGTTATGTCATGCCGAACAATGGGGTTTATAACACCTGCAGATGTGACAGGGCTCCTTCATTAATAAAACACTCAAACCCTGCTGTCTCATTCTCCTCACACGTCACTAGGGGCACACAATGGCCATACTACATCAGTTTCCTTTGAATATTTGTACATGTGGTGGACCTCCTGCGTGGTCTAATGGTAGAGCGTCTGCCAGGAAAGTGGAAGGTCCGGGGTTCAATCCCTGGCTGCATCATACCAAAAGAAGTTAAAAGATGGTACTTGTTGTTACCCTGTCTGGCACTAGTGATTAAGGGGTTAAAACAAGGACTAGTCGGTTCGGAGTATACTGTGTCTGAGTGGGGTATTCATGTTAAACTGCGGCAGACTAGTACAAGCAGCTGCACATACACGTGCATGCACATCGCTATGTGAGTGCAGTAATCTTGGATGTGACGTTAAACCCCATTTCACTTCACCTCATACACATGGTGTTGAAGACAATACACGTTTAGTTTTATACACCATGTGCAATAGGAATAATATATTATGAGATTAACTGACACAGCTTTTGTTGTTTGACATACATAGATTTTGAGGTTGACAAGCAGCATTTGGACATTCCAGAACATTTTCACATTTTTATTATAATTTTGATTTGACAATTTTCTAATGTAACTAATTTGGTAATATTTAGGACTTGGTTTACAATCAGACAAGGTCCTAGACTTTGCTCCAATGGGATCAATGCGCATATTGCAGTGTAACATTTGTAATGCATGTGAAATGGACCTCTTTGACAGAATATTATATGCTCCAAGGTGTAATTTTGAGTTAAGACAGCAGGAGTAAATATCCTGAACATTCTCATGTGATACTGTAGCCATCATGATCATTGTAAAGAGGAAATATTATCATGATTAGTGTTTTTAATGTTATTATATCATGATCATGTTATAATAATACAAACAGTGACACAGAGCTCCAGATAACTTTTTGAGAAATTTAGTTTTTTTGCGAAGGTTTCTATTTTAATTTGGTTATTACGTTTTTCATTAGGTAACCAATACTTTTTCACTTATCTTTTCATCACTCTATTGGGTTTTTCCCCAAACGAGTAAACATTTTGGGAATTCACGCGTGCTGTTTTTATACATTTTAGTTTTATTTAATGCATGCATTTCTGTATGCAAGTTAATTGAAAGTAATTGGGTTCTGAATATTTTTTTAGGGTATTTTACGCAAAAACACAGCTTATCAGTAGCTCTGACATATCTGAACAGTCTAAAAATAAACAATAGATAAGATAATCTATTCATTGAAAGTGACTTAGCAAATACAGTATGTAGTATCTCTTTCTTGAGCTCATTTTGGATAATTTCCGAGTATTCACTGTAGGTAATACCAAGCATTCACCTGTCTGTGTACATTTCCTGCAGTATTACTGTGTTCCTTGTTGATTTCACTCGACACACCACCAGAGCAGATGCATAGCACTGAAAGCTGTGTGTGAGGCTATGTCAAGTATGTTGGTTGAATATGTTCCACAGCGAGACAGTGATTTATATTCAAGCAGTGGAAGTTAGAGATTATAGGTTAATGTCCAACATTTTTCGACACCAGAATAAACTACAGGAACACATGTCTGGCAGATATAAATTGTTGAAATTTGAAAGTGGTATTTATAGATTGCCTTATATTTATTTTTAGAATGCAAGCAGTTATTTTAGTAGAACGGTGAAATATGAGATACATTTCACGACATTTTTTTCTAACTTTTTTAACTCAGAATAGTTTGGGTTTTTTTTCATTTATATATACAAGTTTACTTTTTTATTTTTAGACTTAATGATTGGTTGGGTATTTAATAAATATACTTATGAATCTCATTTATGTTTTGTCCCTGTTGATGAATCCATTAATGAATGAAATGTTGCTGCCTTATTTAGTATCAAATCTATTAATAAGATTCAGTTGTAAAAATATGATAGCTTAGGGTTAAACGAAGTGATTGCTGGCGTCATGCATCATATCATATCATTGTCCCCAAGCACTCCTAAGTCAGTTAACATGGTGAAGCTCCAAGGGTTGAATGTGTTGAGGAGGGAGATGATGGATGACAATATTGTTCACTGTCATTTTTCATTTGGATTATCCATTATAGTCTGCAGGTCACGTCGGCATGATCTGTCATTAGACATACTGGGAGTGTTGGGGGGGGGGGCACCGGAGGTTTTTGGGTCTGAGGGTCTAAATAATTGTTTGTTTATTGTTTATCGCCGCACTCAGCAATGTTCCAGCTATATGATGGCGGTCTGTAAATAATTGAGTCTGGACGAGACAATCCAGTGATTGATGTCATGAGCATGATCCACGCAATTGGGATACGATGACATGCATCAACCAAGTCAGCGAGTCTGACCACCCGATCCCGACCACCCGATCCTGTTAGTCACCTCTTACGACAGCCATAGTGGCCTTTATGGCAAGCAATGGGTTGTTGAAGACCCTTTCTTCCCTGGATCCTCACAGGTCTAAATGATAGTTTGACATAAGTAGGTTGAAATACAAGTATGACCCTGTTTGTGTGAACTGTTTGTGATTTCATCATGATGATCCAGTCAATGGACAGGACATATCTATATGTATGTGTGTGGTCATTTTGTAACAGCAGCTGTGTGGGAAATACAATATCAAGTACCATATTTTCTTGTTGAAACGCAGGTCTCGCTTTAAAGCTGCATAGTTTTAATGCACATAATTCTCCCCATAATTATCTTTATGATTAAAAGCCAGACTTAAAGACTGCCTGAAAATAAAAATGCCTGGGCATTTAGTTTGAGAAAAAATGGTATTCACTTTTTGCAGCAAAATGGTTTGTTTGTTGCTAATGTCAGAGTACATTAACTCAATAATTGCTATAATTTGATGAGTTGATTTGTAAACTAAAAAATGTGCTAGTGACAAGAAGTATATGTATACATGTTTATATGCTACACAATAAAGTGAGTGAGTATGGTTTTACGCCTCTTTAAGCAATATTCCAGCAATATCACGGTGGGAGACACCAGAAATAGGCTTCACACATTGTACCCATGTCTGGAATCGAACCCGGATCTTTGGCGTGACGATTACACAAAAGAAGTCAAAGGATGCCCTGTTCTTTTATAACATGACTGTAATTTATTTGTCATGCCATGACAGATCAACTAAATAGTCTTATAAAAGAATCAGAGTTTCTTAAACCATGTTAACTTCTATTGTGTAGTATATGCCCAGAGTTTGCTGGCATGTTGTGTAAGTGAAGTGTGCTTATCTCCTATATCAGTAGCGAATGCACAAGGCCATGTTGTGACATAGATTCTCCATGGGATGTTTACAGCATTTGTTGATAGGAGTTTTTAGGGCAATATCACTTGTTGATACAAATCTGTCAGATAGTTACACGTGGAATGTATTGGTGGTATTGTTATTGTAT